CATGCTTGGTAAAGTACAGGGTCAGTGAAAAAGAGGAAGACCCTCAATGAGATGGACTGACACAGTGGCTGCAACAATGGGCTCAAGCATAACAACGATTCTGAGGATGGTGCAGGACCGGGTAGTGTTTTGTTCTGTTGTTCGTAGGGTCACTATGAGTTGGAACCGACTCAATGGCACCTAACAACAACTTGCATGGTTTCATCAAACTGTTCAAAAGCACAAAAAATACACATACTTACATACATAGACCTGACATTCTCTATCGTACTACAGTTATCCCTTATAGACAAAGAAACACTCTTTATAATTGTTTTACCACCACGATTAAAGATCTGTTGGTAGCACGTCACAATTAATGGAATTACAAACAGCAGGAAGACTTCAGGCGCATTCATTGTTCAATCGAACACTGATGATTCTCCTGGAATCATTCATCTGTTCACATTCACACACTCATCCCACTCCAATTAGACGCTGACCAGGTGTAGGCCCCACTTTCAGTGCCGAGGACACAGTGGCAAGTTGCAGGAGATGGGCTTACCCTCATCACGTTGTCGGTGGTGAAGCCCGAGCCCTCGGTGCCCAGGTCTTTCAGCAGCCGTGCCAGGAGGTCTATCTGACTCATTGCCAGGTGAGTTGAAGAGTTAGCTTTTAATGGCTGGACCAAGTAAGTTGGGATAATTTGGAGAGACTTAACTTCCTTAAACAAGGCCATTTCCTATAAAAACCAACATAATTTGTTAATTTGTATTGGAAGATGCTACAAGCAATTTAATACAATTTAGTGTGATCCTCAAAGTAAATACTGAAGGAGAAAATAGGGAAATAATGGAGGCAAGTGGCAGTAAGATCATCAATTTATCAGCTCACATTTCTATTTTAAAACATAATAACTGATTAAAAATGAAAACCTGAAGCATAAGAAATAAAACCAGGATCCTCTGGAGATTCATGAAAGCTTTACAGAAAATGTCAGAGAAAAGTTAAGATTTCTGTTCTCAGTATTCCTACTCTCAAGTGAAAGTTTTTCTAAATTCTGAAGACCTTACAGCCATTGCAGAGCTCTGGTGGCGCAGTGGTTAAGAGCTACAGTGAGCTACAGCTGCTAACCAAAAGGTTGGTAGTTCGAATCTACCAGCTGCTCCTTGGAAACCCTATGGGGCAGTTCTACCCTGTCCTATAGGGTTGCTATGAGTCGGAATTGACTCAGTGGCAACAGGTTTTTTTTTTTTTTCTTTTTTTAAGCTGTGGCTGTGCTACTGGCAGCATCAGTATTATTTATAAATGTCGACCAGGAGCACAACAGTACATGGTCTCCAGTAAGGATGGTGCTGATGGCCTACATGAAAACATGCAAGTACCACTGCAGAGTTTAACATCTCCAAACAGGTGTCACTATGGTTAAGATATTGATCATTTTATTAGCCAGATACAGAGAAAGAAATGATGACATATTGAAGCATGTAAGTTGCAATATAGAAAGAAATCCATTTTAATAAGTCTGCAGGTGACATCCCCTAAAACAATCTCTAGTTTTCACAGCACAATTAACTTTGTATTTGCGCCTCTGAGTGTCTCTCTGTACAAAGATGAAAGAAAAAGGAATGACAGCATTCTTCAGAGACGTATCAACAGTGAATTTCCTAAATGACAAAGAGATGCTGCAAATATGGGTATATTTCAAAGTCTGCCAATTGGTATCCTGATGTACAAAAAATAATTTTAACCCTGCAATATAGTGCTACGAGATTAGTTCAAATAAAGAGGAAACTTTAGCATTACCAAACTACTCAGAAATTAATATGGTTTAAAAATAATTAAATGAGGCCATAATTTCCTTGTTTTCAACACCTCTTTTGAGAGATGACATCCCCTTGCCTCCCAAAAAAGAGTAGGGAATAGGAAAGGAAAGATTTCTCTGTACATAAAAATAGCTTATTTAAAATATTATGGCTTCTGAAAAGACTATTCAAAACATAGCTTTTTTTAAGTTTGCAACTACAGTAAAGCACAGCTTATCCTCTCTCCCCACTTCCTTTGTACCCAAGATTGCTTTCTCATCCTATTTCAAACTTACTGTATAAGGACTGAATATTACCACACAATAGCAATACTGTTAACTTTTAGTCAAAAAATGATTTTCCTTTTCTCCAAGTCTATGTGTGTCCCATTAAATAGGCAAGAATCCATGTTCAAGTAATCTCCCTTTGGGAATTTGTTAATATGACTTTTCTAAGTTTCTTTTCCAAGAGTCTGTAATTTCTAACAAAATAATTTGAAGCCATATTAACAAGGAGTACATGTAGGACTTTAGTATTACTTATTTTTACATATTTGTATAACTTATTTTTGTTATACATTTTCTCTGAAGACTTATTTTAAGTTTATTAAATGAAACTAGATCAGCGGGGCTTAACATTTGGGGGCTCTTAACATTTACTCTTATCTCTTTAAGAAACTAGATGAAAGCTTTGGATTCTTTCCTAAGAAAGATGTGCATGCTCACAAAAATTTTGTATAAAGTTTCACGGAATTTATAGACTTTCTGAAACCCGAACATGGACCTTTAACTTAAGAACTCCTAGAATAAGTGAATTCGTCGGTTAATTTAAAGACAGAAAGATATATTTTCAAACCACTTGTTACCTGTGTGCCAAAAAATCCTACACACTCCATTCTACCTCAACATTGCCCATGATACCCAGCCTAGAGGAAGTAAGTCTGTCGAGTGAATGATGACGTTTAGATTCAGTTACCTGTTTATTATTTCTGCCTTCCCCAATTTTCTATTCAGATTTAATTTTCCATATATTTTTATTTATTTAAAAAATTGTCAGCATGTGTTGGATAAGAGAAATACCAAAAAAACTAAACTGTACATTTTCATCAAAGTTCATGTCTAAGACAAAGCTTGTCTTTTAGAGCCTAAGGGAAGTCCAGCAGTGAATGACTAAGGAGAAGTGATGCTGCTGAGCAAAGACAGAATCTTGTGGGGTGTGAAGAAAGTGAGGCATCTGCAGGGACCTGTCATCTCCAGCTCAAGCTGCTCAGTGCGGCCCCCACCTGGATGAAGTTGGAGGCGATGATGCGCAGGCGCACGGAGGAGTCCCCGGTCCTGGTGAGCAGGGTGGGGATGGTCCTCTCCACACAGTGGGATGTCTCCAGTTTACTCAGTTTATGCTTGGGGATATACTGTGTGATTATCATCTTCAACAGTTTCAAAGAGGCCTGAAAGACCTAAGAAAAAGAGAAAAACAGGCAAGGGACTATGATTGAATTCCATCAAAAGGAAACATGGAATTTACTATTACAGTGAAACCTGTGAGAGCCAAAACTCGGCCGGACTGCCCTGGTTTTCTGGGTCTTACCAATTTTATATCGCTTTCTATTAGTGGAAAATATTAGAGTTTTCCTTTTTGGATAGGTTTCCGCCTTACATAGGTTCCAGGTTTCGCAGGTTTTACTGCAGTAACGAGTATGCACACTATATAGAAAACTACATGCTGTCTGAAGGGCTGAAAATGGCAAGTTGAAAGTCGCCTTCCAAGTACCATGCCCTGGGTAGAGAGAATGTTCTCTTATGTCACTGTGTCATAGTGTTGTCAGCATTTTCCCTTGAGGCCAGAAACCTGACTTTCCTGCTTAAATGGACACGCTCCTTCACATGTGTAGACAACTGTGTGATTCTGGGATGTTCACTTGTGAGGCCTTTTCCGAGTTAGAAAAATTCAACAGTAACTCCCAAGGTCCTCATTTCATGAGAAATAAAAACATAAACTGAACATGTATGAGGGGTGGTGAGTCAGGCCTCTACAAACACCTGGCTTCAAAGAACATGGAAAAAGCTGAAGCTCAAGCCAAGAGTGAATGACCCAAGCAGACAGATTCGCAGATGCCTGGTTTTTAATTGATTGGTAGGATATGCTGTTTGCTAGTGAAACTTGATTCGTAGTTATTCCACCATGCTAGAGCTGACAAGCCTGTAAGTGAGCAGGTTCTCTTGCAGGCTCTCATCGTCTACTCTGTCACATGATCTCATTCCCAGGAGCAGGGGCCACCGCTAGCTGAGGGCACTCACTGAGGTCACTATGTCTTTCACGGCTCTTCTGATGAGAAAGACGGACGCCCTCAGCATGTTCTTTAAATCTTCCTTTGGAGTTCCAGTGGGCATTTCCATCAGCTTTTTATACAAAGCAAGCAACGCATCTTCCCGGTATGACCATGTCTTGGAATAGGCCCCAGCAACCTAACACAAAACAGTAATCTTGTTTTATTGGAAGAGTCAGAATTTCATTACATCATACAATCACTGTCCAATACTATACACTTGAAGGCTCTCTTTTTTTAAAATTCAGAAGAATCTCTACAGAATAAATATGCTTATGTAGAGAAATAATTTTTCTACTAAGGAAAATTTAAGACTATGTTAAAGTATGAATTATAATATTAAAAGTCCCAACAAGAGAAATATTTTAAAGCTGGGGACCAAGGGAAAAATCCACTGGGCTCGTTCCCATTAGGAGATAACTTTCACACTTTGTTTAGCTTTGGCATCATTTTCCCCTGGAATTAGCTGATGTTCACTGGAGAAAGCTCATGTGCAATACCAGTTTCTGAATACGAAAAAGAAACACCTGGTCTTAAATGAACACTAACTCACAAAATTTAGCTTATGTTTTTGTTATTTCATATAATTAATAAAAGACTTTTCAATTCAGTAAGGGCAAAGTGAAATCAAGATCTATATTATAAACACAAAGTCTTGGGGTGCTTTTCCTTCCTTCTCTCTCACACACACAGGTATGTATGTGTGCCTGCACGTGTCTATACATGTACATGCATGTATACATGTACATGCAAACATGTGTGTGTGCATGCATGGATATATGCGTGCACACGTGTACGTATGTGTGTCTTTTTTTTTTTACCAAAGTCTCCCCGAGCACGTCGATGGCGGAGCTGGCTTCTCTCAGGGCTTTCTCTGTTAAGGGCTCCGGTTCCCCTGAAATACCTCCTTTTTGAGCCTCACTGACATCTGGGTCGCTCAGTTCATACTCCATGTGTGTTTCCCCCTGCTGTTTGCGAATAGCTGGGAGGGGTCGCTCATCATAGGGCAACATCTCCACCTGAAAGGGAGCAGAGGCAGGTAGACCACTGCCCAGCGTGGATACCGCCCCCACCATCACACACTGTGACTTCATGCTCAGGGTCATTGCTCTCCACTTACCAGGTCTAAGAATATCAGTACTAACAGATTACAATAATTTATACAATAGGATGCAGTTTAAAACATTAGCTCAAGGTTTCTATTCCTTTCCAAGCTCATCACAGGCCTCATAAAAAAAGCTGCAGTTACGATTTACCACTAGCAGTATCAACTCAATTGAAATGTGAAGTACTAAGGTAAAAGTTACTAATTTTTTCCTGACAAGTTCTCTGATATTTTCTTCGTTTACTGCTTAGAAATAAGTATCAAGCCTGATTTTAAACATGTTCATCATTTGGTGGCCTTCTGCTTAAAACTAGTAGCCAAAGGTACAGAATCTTTGTGCACATTTTTTTGTGGCAGGCCTACCAGAGCTCTAGACAAGCATCTGTTTATTCCACTCATTTATCACTTCAACAAATAGTACTGAGCACCTAATTCATACCAGGCACCGTTCGTGGGGCCTGCATACGGCAACGAGCAATATGGATGTCCTGGCCCTCACCGGGCTTGTGTCTCATGGGGGAAACAGGTGTTAGTGAAAGTGGAGAGGGAGAGCTTCCTGACTCATTTTCTGAGGCAGGTGTTACCGTGACACTGAAACAGACAAGGGTAACTGTTTAGACTGAATATCTACTGAGTGTGTGCCATGTTATGAGAATAAGTTTCTCACAATCTAAGATTTATTCAGAGTTGTAAAACACCTCAGGATGTTCAAAAAAAAAAAAAGAAAAAAGGAAAATCAGGGTATTTTAAAACTGAGTATTAAATGTAATTTGTAAAAGTTATCTCTTTTGTTTTTTTTGGTAATTTCTGGAAAAGGTAGTGTAGGTGGGGATTACAGTGAGCCCTCAAAGGTGTTTCAGTGGCAGATAGTAAAGGGAGGGACAGTCCTCTCCAACTGTACTGGGACTCTGGCTGCAGCAGACACCTGGCTGCAGCCCACCTAGCATTCTTCCTTCTTTCCCCTAAGTGACCCAAGTCACAGCCACACAGCCATGTCCCTAAACAGAAGCTATAGGGACAGCCCTAACAAGACAATGAGACACTCCACCCTGCAGCCCTTGTCATTGTGTTCAAGGTGGGTATGTGCCTGGGGCTGTCCTCATCAGGCCAAACTCCAGAACTCCTGCTTAGAACAGGAAGTTCACGCGCTCTCCCCGACGTTATGGTGTGCAGATGTGAGGTTGAGAGCCGTGAGAGTGGCCGGTCCTAGGATGACAGGGACACCCAAAAAGTAGAGTCGAATGATGGGAAGAAACCAGGTTCTGATGATACTGCTGAACTACTGAGTCAGACCGACCCTGAAGCCCCACACCATCTCTTAAGGCTCTACTTACAAAAGCCACAATCCCCAGTTTACATCAGGTTTCCTGTTACTTATGACACAGAAAGTTCTAATGGGTTTAGTAGCTACCCATACAATTTTTATTGAGGTTCTACTGTGGTTTGCTCATGTGGTAGGCATTTTACAAATACTGTCTCATTTATTCCTTGAGACAATCCTTGAAGGTAGATGTTGTTTAAATATCTTTCAGAGAGAAAAACAGAGGTTCCCGAAGATGGAGTCAAAGCCCAAGGTCACAAGCTGCGGGGGTGGAAGAAGGCCGGGAGGCCGGGCTTTTCTGACTCCGAATGCCAACCCAGATGAGGCAGGTCACTATGCCTACTGCTTATGCTATTACTCTCCTCCTTTGACGTTCATGTCCTCTCCCAGAGTGCAGTTTCTATGAGGAAGGGGTTTTGGCTGTTTTGTATATGGACGTATCCCACCCACCGGAGCAGTACCTCGCACAGTGCAGGCCCTCAGTAAGCATTTGCTGACTACACTGTACGCACACTGGAACCCGAGTGACCTACGTCAATCTTTGGACGAGGGTCCGGGGATGGCAGCACCTGGCCCACGGCGGCGTGCTGAGGAGGAACGCTGCGAGACCGCGAGGAGGGCTGCTCCTGCAGGAGAGGCTCCATGGCCCGCTTCTCTGTCAGCCTCTCCTCCTGCTGCGGCAGCGAGGGCTTTGGCTTCTGATGGCGAGGACTGCCGGGGTGAACAAGGGGCTGCAGGGGCAAATCAAAGGGTCTTCGCATCTAGAGGAAAAAGGGACATTTAAATCCAATGCCACCTCAGATCCATCCATCCCCCAAAGGAACAACAGTTTAGAAAGGCAGTGCTGGAAGAGACTCTTCCACACAATTCAGTTTCAAAATAGAAGAAAGACTTTCGGGGAGAGTTATAATCTACACTAAGAATGCCCTAAATAGTCACATCACGGCCCCTTCAGGTGTTGCTCTGTGGTGACTCCACAGACTATAAAAGTGACACATAACCAGAACAGCAGACAATCAGCATTTGTCTGTAGAGCAGTCAGGCACTAGCACACTCACCTGTGATGGCCAACAAGCAGGATGGCGGGGCAGGAAGAACCTGGGCTGACTCCAGAGAGACGGTTCACACCTGGCACTGATATTAACTGTGCCCATAAAATAAGTTGTTTAGCGTAATCGTAGCAAGTCAAATTTATTTGTGGTTGTTGTTGTTAGGTGCCGTCGAGTCAGTTCCAACTCACAGCAACCCTTTGTACAACAGAACGAAACACTGCCTGGTCCTGCACCATCCTCACAATTGTTGTTATGCTTCAGCCCATTGTTGCAGCCACTGTGTCAATCCATGTACTGGGCATGGGGCTACACGCTTCAGACAGACCATCTCACTTAATGCTCACCATTTTTACCCTCATTTTAAACATGATGGGGAAACGGAGGCACTGAAGTGCCAAGTCTTTGTCTAGCTCGCCAGCAGGAGCAGAGGAGTCAGGGTGTGAGCCCCAGCATCGCAGCCCGAGTCTGCCTCTCTTTACTCACTACCATTCCACATCTCTCTGAGTCTCTGCTTCCTCCACTGTAATGGGAGATAAGTAACATCTGCCTTATGGCGGGTGCTAAAGATGAGAGGCAGAGTGCCGCTTGTGAGACACGTTCTCAATGCGCGGAAGCTATTTGTGTCATCATTCTCTCATTTCATTCACACAGCACTTGGAAGGGCAAAGGGGGTGGGGCTACCATCACATTACAGATGCGGAAACCAAGAGCAGAGACAGGAAGTGAATCTCCGGCAGCGTGGTGGAGCCGGGATCTCCCTGACCCTGGCTCATTCCCTTTCTCCTCGCCCGGGAGCCCTCCTGAGAGAACATGTCCAGGCAAAGTCTACCTGATGGAGGCACAGTGCTGAAGTCCCCTATAGTAACTGCCACCTGAGCATGACAAACTCTCCTATGACATTCACAAGGTGCACACCCTCCCAGTAACCCGGGTCACGACAACACCGCTGAGTCTCTGGTCTCTGTGCTGGAATTGCATACCCACGGGCCCTCAGTTCCTCTCACCGCACCTACCAGCTCTGCATCCATCAGGTTGTGAAGCTCCAGCTGCTGGTAGACCTTGGCGCGATACTGCTCCATCTGCTGCTTCTTCTCCTTGGCAAGGTCGTAGTCTTCCTTCTCCACAGCACATCGCTTCTCCACCTCGTACCTCCCGAGACGCTCACCAACCTGAAGCACAAGGCGATTGCTTTTTGTTTCAAATGTTGATCAACTCATGTCAAGTGCAAAGATCACTGTTAAAGTAATGCTTAAATGACAGTGGCAGTGACCGTCTATGTCCTTCTGTGAGAGGGGAACAAACCTGGGAAAGGAACAGAAGGAACTGACTGTGCTCATCTGCAAAGGCAGTGCTGCCTGTTGCATTACCCGCTACTAATAAACCCATGGGTTCATACATCATTTAACAAACAGCTCTTAGGCTTTTCTACCAATTTCCTATAGCAAAAAACTTAAAACAACTAGGTATCTGATGGCATCTGCATGTGAGTCTGAAGCACATGCCTTCATTCAAACTTAATGTTAACCATACATAAAACCTATCCCAGGCATACACTGGAAACTTTTCTCCAGAAGTCATACCTTTTGTAAATCCGCAATAGCTTGTTTTAGTTTCTTGGCATAATCGTAACGTTCCTTTTGGACAGCGTCATGTTTCCTTTCGTCTAACTTGCGTATGATCTGTGCGACTTCTGGATCTTGGTACATATCAAAAGCTAGGTCATCTAGTGGAGAAATGTAGTCAGGTTTCCTGAAGGAAAGAAATGAGTATTTAGAGCTCATTTTAGTCTGTGTGACCCTACAGTTACGGAGGAGTCTCTATGAGCTCAGCCCAAGGACATGCAGGTGGTAGGGCAGGCAGCACCACCGTGCCCACTCACTGAGCACTTCCCGAGTGGGAAAGCAGAGCACAGAGAAATGAGGAATGCACTTCAGGTCACACAGCTCTTATGAGCAAGCAGGTCTTTCTGACTCCAAAGCCCACGCTGTTAGCCATGAATTAAACTGCAGGTCACAGCATCTCAGTGTTTGGGGCATTCATTCATTCACTCACTCATTCCACAAAAATTCAGAGAATGGAATCTGCACCAAGCTCTGTGCTCAGCACTGGGGCTGTGTGATGGTTAAGGTTGTGTGTCAACTTGGCTGAGCCATGATTCTCAGTGGTTTGGCAGTCAGATGATGTTGTGATCACTTCCATGATGAGATTTGATATTATGTGATCACCTCCATGATGGGATCTGCTGTGAGTAGCCAATCAGTTGAAAGGGAGTTTCCTTGGGCGTGTGGCCTGCATTGAATATAAGTGGATATTCTGGCAAGGCTGGTGGGCTTCTGCTCCTTCTGGGTCCGGCAGCTGGCTCCTGTTCGTCTGGTCTCCGGTTCTTGGGACTTGAGCTAGCAGCTTACCTGCGGTCTTGCCTGCCGATCTTGGGATTTGTCGATCTTCACAGCCTGTGAGCAGGAACCCTACTCTCTGACCTGCCGATCTTGGGTTTGCCAGCCCTTGTGGCTACGTGAATCAGGAGAGGCCTCTATCCTGACCCACGGACTTGGGACGTTACAGCCTCTACAACCATGTGAGCCATTTCCTTGATATAAATCTCTCTATATATATATGTTTATATGCTTTACTGTTTTTGCTTCTCTAGAGAACCTGGCCTAAGACAGGCTGTGACAGTGGCTATGAACCATTTGTAGAACTGGGGGAGAAACTCATAAAGCAAAGCAAATGGGTCACCAGCCCCATACTTTGGTAGGTCTGAGGTGGGGTCCAGGCACCGATATTTTATAACAGCACCACTGTAACTCTGACGAACATGAATGGCTGATAACCTGTGCCATCACCTCAGAGTGTTAACTTTTATACCAACCATTGAGTCCTATAGGAGACCAGAAGCATTCTTTCAAGAATAAATGATCTTTCAAGTTACCCGAATAACCCATTTCTGCTTAAGTATTGCCTCTATTCTTCCTTCCAAATTCTATATTAGGGCAATAATCAGCTTTCCTCGGGGTCTAACACTTAGAACAATAATGTCAGCCTACCTACTTAATAAAAACTTGATTAATTTTCTGAGGCCAAATTTCAAAGTATCCCAGTTTGTCTGCTGTATCGACTACATGAAATAAGCCACTTGTTAGCTGTAACTTAGAGATCTTTACATATAGGTAAATTTTCATTAAAATATTATTTGTCACAAAAACTTAGTCAATTCGTATAATAAATCCAAATAGAACATGGGAATGAGTCACCTTTCAGAATCATCAAGCACCCTTGTAGCACCCCCTTCTGGGACCCATGATACTCTGCTACAGCAGCAGCACTGGGCATCCAGCCGGGACAGCTTCAGCAGCTTCAACAATATAACCTAACCACAGGGATGCCTGGGCAGTAATACACTGTAGTGTGTCTACAAGATCACTCTATTTTAGCTAAACATATATAACCCTCTCAAGCCTAAGTCTCTTAGCTGTGAAATCCCAGAGATGAAAACAAAAACTTCACTTGATTGTTTAAATCTTACACAGGAAAAATAACGTTGTATGGTATCCCAGTCAGAGTTCCAGAGCATTGCAGCAGCTTTATGGAGAGCAGTGCTATCCACTTTAGCTCAGAATGTCCCCTAGTGGTAACCCAATGGAGTTTCACGTTGAGTAACTCCAGCACTTGGCACTTGATACTATATGTTCACAAACCTCTCATGTTACCTTCACAAAACCCTGGGAGATAAGGCAGGATGGGCAAACTACAGCTCACCCTTCCAAATGACTACTTGAATTTAAAAAAATCGTTTAAATTATAAATAAAAATAACAGAAAGAACTTTTACTGGCCAGATTAAGAAGCTAAAACTTACCAATTAGTTTGGATATTCCTGTTCTACTAAGCACAAGCTTCAATAAGGGCAGAAAGAAAGCTATTATAATGATGATACTGATAAGAAGTGGATATATTTCTCTACTCTTCAGCACTTTTCCCCTCAAATCACCACCTTGAAAGATAAGGGCTATGGTTACTATTCTATCTACTGGACAAAGGAAGGATCTGAGTAGAGACTGAGAAACTTATTTAGGTTATACAAGTGAGTTCTTTGTCTTTATAAATATAAGAATGCCGTTGTTGTTGCTGTGTGCCATTGAGCCTATTCTGACTCATAGTGACCCTATAGGACAGAGTAGAACTGCCCCATAGAGTTTCCTAGGCATAATCTTGGTGGGAGCAGATTGTCAGCTCCAGTGGAGCTGCTCGGTAAGTTTGAACTGCTGACCTTTCTCGGTTAACAGCCAAGTGCTTAACCACTGTGCCACCAGGGCTCCTTATCAAAAGAATAGCCTGCACTTTTTGAGCCTCAGTATTTACACCCCCCTCGTGACTGGCCCTGGCCCCCGCCTCCTTCACACCACATAGCCCTGTCAGCCAGGGCCCTCCTGGGGACCAGACCTACCGAGGACAGGGGACGGCCTCCGCAGGAGGAAGGGTGTGCCCCCACGAGGGCGCCAATCTAGCAAATGGCTCCTGAGCAACTGCGGAGAGATTCTACTCCATCTGTTTTGGCAAAAAGAAGAGCTCGGCTCCAGGACTCATTATGTCCTGTCGGCAGTTTGCAGGCAGGTGAGAGTGAAGTGACATCAGGAGTTGTGGACAAATTCCAAACACCTATGACAAGTTATGTGTTTTTTCTTTACGGGGAAGCTGCTGTCAGAGAAGAGAAATGGGGTATTGTTTTGAATTTCTCTTTTATTTTGAGCAGGCACCTTTGGAATGAGGTTCCTTGCCTGAATGAACAGTGTTTTCAAAACAGGGAGCACGCTGAGAGGATGCTGAAGCAGCTGCTTGTTCTGAGGAGGTTCCCAGGGAGCAGGGGAGTGAAAAGCATGGGACAAACTAGCTCTCAGCAGCCCCCACTCAAGAGCTACCAGGAGTCCTCACACTGCTAAGAAAGAAGGGCAGTGGAGTAAGTAAGTATATTAAATTGTTAATATGAAGAATGTTTTAGTAGGTAGAGAAGGACTGGCAAAAATTATGCTTTTAAAAACTGATACAATATATATTTCTGACCCTGAAGAATAAACTTTTTAAGTATACACAAGACGAAGCCCCTAGTTACTGATAATTTGGGTCTATTAAATACCTTTAATTTTTACCTGTGAATTTGCCTGTGCCAACGGGTGGTTGATGGATCTTTTTTCCAAATGCATTTTAAGAACCTTCTAGCAACAACACAAGAAATGAGTCTCTGAAGGGCAATAAATGAAGGAGCACTAAAAAAACCTTGACCTTAATCTGTAAGTATATTTAAGACAATCCAATCAGTGGCTTACCAAGCTCTGAACTGAATTTAGAGGCCCTCAAATCCAGGGTCCTTTGGAAGTGAGCCCCTTTTGTGATTCTAAGAAAAGTTGCTGAAATCCATTGCCTGGGAAGAGCCATCTTCTTACCCGGTATACGTGCCGTCCAGAGCAGGATCCTCGGCATTGTGCCCTAGATAGTGGTCAATCAGCTTCTCTCTAGAAGTCTTTGGGAGCAAAAGAATTTTTCTTAGCACCTCAGAGAAAAAAATGAACAACACAAAAACCTTAACCAAAAGATTATCTGACATAAAGACATCAGCAAGCTTCAGTGACTCTAGTTTCTTGGTGGGAGAGCCAAAGTTCTTGAGTAAAAGAAAAGTTTAATATACTGTAAAACCGAAACCAAACCTGGTGCCAGCGAGTCAATTCTGACTCCTAGCGACCCTACACGACAGAGTAGAACTGCTCCGTAGGGTTTCCAAGGAGCAGCTGGTGGATTCAAACTGCCGACCTTCTGGTTAGCAGCCAAGCTCTTAACCACTACAGCACCAAGGCTCCTAGTAGCTGCTGAAAATTATTTGACAGTTACTCAATAGTCAGTTTTATGAACAGTTTTAAGATGACACATTTTGGCATCAAAAAAATCATCTATTAAAAATACTTTCTTCTTTAGGATTAAACTTCTCAAACTTACAACATTGTTTTCATCATTGAAATCTGCAGGATCTCCAATGATATTTATTGCAACCAGAGCGACCTAAGAAAGAGTTAAATCAACAGAAATTAAGTACAGAACTATTAAATTTTATGAATTATGTAAATTAATATTCTAATGCTGAACCAAGTGGTTATTTTAACTGTTTAAAAGATGTTAAGATACATGACTACATACTCACAGAAAGAGGGAGGAGCAGCGCCAAGGGTGAACTGTATTCATCTTACCTGATTATATATGTTGTATTTGTTGACATGGTTTTGGTGAAATATCAGCTTCAGAAACTGCCCGACTGCATCCACATACACTGATTTTAGCTCCCGGGCTTTGCAGCCGGTCTTTGCATTATCACACAGAGAGACGTAACTGGAAGAAACAGACACGACTGAAGAACCGTGTTCACATGGATGTGTGCTGATAAACAAAACTACTACTAACTCAAGCAGTTTAAATAAAACTTTTAGAAAAAACAAAACAAAACAAACACCTAAGAAAAGAGTCAGCCTAGAAGTCAAATTCTAATTAGTGTTCTTAAGAAAAGCTCTGCATCTGGAAAGTAGAGGTGAACACTATTGAAAAAAACGATAATCATATTCAATATGAAACAGGTGTTTAAAAACTGCAGCATTCTGAACCAAATAGAAGTATGCAATATAAGACCAGGAAAAAAAAAAAAATCTAACCCATTGCCGTCGAGTCGATTTTGACCCATAGCAACCCTACAGGACAGAGTAGAACTGCCCCATAGGATTTCCAAGGACCGGCTGTTGAATTTCAATTGCTGACATTTTGGCTAGCAGCCGTATCACTTAACCACTGCACCACCAGGGCTCCATAAGACCAAAAGAAAGAGACAATTCATTAGTTTTTAATTGATTTGAGTAGAATTAGCCTGGCTAAATGTTACCATTATAAATTTTAAATTTTATTCTTACCCGAGTCTTCGAAACCGCTCTGCTTGATACGGTACAAAATATTCAGGCAAGCTTTCACTAATGTAGAATTCAATTTTACTTGAAATCATATACTGGTGGGCGAGTAACTGCAGTTTTCTTATTCGACATCTTTCTACCATTTGAAGCACAATTTCTTGTGGGAACTGGCAAAATCTGAAAGTAAACAACATTTTTGTTTCTTCTGAACAATTACTGCAGAGGGGTTCTGGATGCTAGCATTCCATCCTTCCATGTAATAAGCATTTGTCAAGTATCTGCTATAAGCATTTGTAGGTACTGAAGCTACAAAGATGACTACGACAGTGTTCCTATTCTCTCAAGCTTTTCACAGTCAGAGCTGAAGCCTGGAATTAAGGTTTGATCTGATCTGCCTCCACCCAAGGTTAAACATACTCTTGGCAGCTAGGAAATGGTTTGTTTTGAACTGAAACCTTAAGTTTATCATGAGATGAAAAAATGAATTTAAGAGGCTGTATTAGCAGGTAAGACAGAACAAAAGAATTTTTCATAGGAACCTAAATACTTAAAGAAAATCTCTTCCTTGTCGAATCCTGAGCCATGACATAACTGCAACAATCAATATTTAATAAGTCTACCACGAGTGCTCAGTGGTTGGAATAGAAAGTCTATGATACGGCCCATATTAGAGCTTTGAATTTTGTTTAAAACTGACATAACCCATTTTAAAAAGAGACATCAGTCAGAGAACCACTATGAGAAAGAATCCCCACAGTGCTGTACTCTTTACCTGGTTTCCTCCCCTACAGTGTTGTATTGTCAGATCATTTCCTTTGCTAGGCTCCCCCTGCTCAGCTTTGCATTTGAATCCTGTGTTTGCTTGGAGGTTATATGTAAACCCCATTGCGCCTACATAGTATGATTAAGAATGTTGCTGACATAACTCGTATGAACTCCCTACTTGAACTCCCTTTAAAAGTAACTTGCCCGCCCGCCCTTGGTGAGCAGTCTTGGCAACAGTAAGCACCGACTGACTCCATTTCCTTGTACAACGAAATAAAGGTACCTTTCTTGTTCTCCCACCTCAGTCTCTCGTTTATTGGCCAATATGAGTCATGCTGAGTAAGAACCTGGGGTTTCCACCCAGTAACCACTAAAAGAAAAAAACAAACAAAAAACCCCCCAAACTCATTACCTTTGAGTTGATTCTGACTCATAGTGACCCTATAGGACAGAGTAGAACTGCCCCACAGGGCTAACCTTTTGGTTAGCAGCTGAGTTCTTAACCACTGCACCAACAGGGCTCCCAGAGTACCACAGCAGTCAGCACAGCCCTCACATTCATTGCCGTATATGACTATGATAGAGGTGATACAGTGAATGCTTGAAATGCACTAAGTCCCACGTATGTTCAGCTAGCAAGCACAGGGTTAATGGACCGAGGAGGCACCCAGGCCTCTGGAGTGGGGAGTACTGAGGACAGGGATGGCCAGGAAAGGCTCCTTACATCTCAAGTCTCAGTGCCTCTGTGCTGCCTAGCAACACATGCTCTGCTCTGGTTGGGTGCTCCTAACCACCAGGCCACAGTCCCTTCTTGCCCTTGCATACTCCATGCCTCTCCTGGTGATCAGATGGGGCTCCTTTCCAGACCTCCCACTCAATGTAGCAGCACCCCGCCCTGCTCGCTCTCCCCACTCACCCCGCTAAGCCCAGCTGCCCTGTGCCCTAGACCTGCCCCGGCCTGCAGTTATTCCCCACCCCAGTTATCTCTCTAGAGCATTCCTAAAACTACACAAACACGCTCTAGAAACCCCTATTTTAAGAACACCCTCCATGACCCTGCATCCTTCTACCGCTTCCATCCCCATTTCTCAACTCCCCTTCTCAGCAAAGCTTGGTGCTGGAGTTATATGCAGTCACAGTCTCAATTCTCTCATCTCTTGTTCTCCCCTGCCCCACTCCTGGAGGGTCCTGGTCCCACACACCCCACGCTCACTCTTGTTAAGATCATGCTGACCTCCATGACGCCATGTTCAAGGTGGATTTCCTGACCTTGCTCAGCCTTCAGGAGCTGTCAACACCATCGCCCACATCCATTGAGATATTTTGCTTGGCCAAGTGTCCACAGGATCATGCGTGCCTGGTTCTCTTCGGACCTTACTGGCTCCCTCTCCACTGTCCAGGCTCCCCTTCTCTTCTGTCTACACTCACCATGGCACTGACACCCACTCATGGTCTACGCCAGCCAGAAATCCAAGCCTCACCCTTAAGCCTCTACAAGGATGATCTGGTCTTCTCCCCACTGCCCATGGGTAAAGCCATCAGCGGCTGGCCCTCTTTATTGGCTGCTGTGTAAACAATGCCAGGTATCATACTTGGCACAGGGCAAGCATTCAGTAACTGTCAGTTGGAAGGACAGAAGAAGGGAAGAGGCAGGAAAGTAATATCAGGCTGACTGGATTGGAATCTATGGAAATCTTGATGTTTAACTCTGTATAGAATCTGAACTTAGAGGGACACATGAGGATGAATGGGAGAGTGTGAGATGAGAACAGCCGAAACTGCGACTACGGAATGAGCAGACTGTACCTGGTTATTCTGGAGTGAAGCTGCCTGATCCTTCCTAACACCACGTTTTCACAAATGCAAAGGTGGTTAAGAGAGATGTATTTGGGGCAGGAGGTCAGTGAGGAAACACAGAGGAAACAAAGCAACTTCTGAAATGAATAATCTTCAACCTTTCACACCAGTAATGTGCTGTTTTCCATATTTAAGATGTTTACTGTTTTTTAAATGCAGGGCACATGTAAATAATCTGTGGTGACATCATTCTAGACCAAGGACACTTGGTGTTATGGATTGAATTGTGTCCCTTGATTCCTAAACTGTGAGAAAATAAATTTGTTTGTTAAAGCCACCCACTTGTGGTATTTCTGTTATAGGAGCACTAGATAACTAAAACACTTAGTAATCTATTATTTAAAAAAACCTTTAATCTACTTAAAAAACCCACAAAACTGTTCAAAGGAAACTAAGACAACTGACAAAATTTAGACGTTGTATACTTACAAAAATTCTTCCAAAAAAGGGGCCTATGCTTTAACTATTCAAATGTACTTTAAAAAGTTTGTAGATTAATCTAAAAATACTCTTTAAGTTGATTATGAAACAAAACAATGTATGTAAAGAAGGCTAGTATGTATCTATCCTTTTCAAGATAAGGTGACAGCTATAGATCTCTTCCGGAATAAAATGAGTTGGCGTTAAAAACTGAATGCCCAGAAGCTATAGCGGTTGGTGTAAACTTTATGTTCCCTTGGAGAAGTGTGTTTCATCTGAAGACGTTAGGTTCTTTGATTCCTTAGGTCGTAAGAATGGTATTGGAGGGACTGTCCCCATGTGTGCCTCCTCCTGCTGAAGCTGTTTATCTATTTGTGTCCCTGAGCACACCTTCTTTAGCTGGTACTAACAGGGAACCTTGTCCTGTCTTTGGGAGACTTGGTTTGAGGATGTTTTCCTTTGCCTTCCCGGACGTGCTAACCTCAGGGAGCATGTCTGTGTTAAAGTCAGGAGGCCCCTGGGAGGAGCCTGGCATTCGTCTGTGTGGTAAAGGGCGCATACATCCGTTTTTCTGGTACATTGTCTGGCAATGTGTTACTAAAACGAGTAAAGGTTTTGCCCTTAAAGAAACACCATGTCAACAAATCAAAGAATCGTATTAGTGTTGTTTTTATAAACATTACCAATAAGGGCTCAGCCTAGTACCCAGTCTGTATTCTAGTTCCTGTAGTCCACACATGTATACCGAACAAGCACAGTTAGGATACAGCACCTCTGCTGACGGGAAATGCTGGGGTGTGAATGGAAGTTCCCTGTGCATACCTGTGGGCCCAGCCTCTTGGGTCCTCCCGCTGCCTGGGAAGTACGTGTGCTTGACAGGAGTCTGCGGGGAGAAAGCTGCATGCTTGGGCTGCCCGGGCAGGCAGTCCTCAAGCACTGCTTCCCCAGCGGAGGGTTTGGCCTTGGGGAAACCGCCCTGACTGGGAGATCAGCCTGTCGCATTCTGCCTTTAGTGTTAGCAGACCTACTTGACCACAGATAAGGCCCTTGTCCTCCAATATCAACGTTACCAGGCACACAGGTGCTATTTTTTAACCCCAACTACTTTACTCTTCCGCTCACGCAGGAGTTGTCTGCCGTCACGTCTCAACTCTCTCATCTCCTGTTCTCCTCCCAACTCCAGAAGGGCCCTGGTCCCATGTCTCACTCTTTTTTTAAAAACTTTGTCATTATTGTTGAGAATATACACAGCAAAACATACACCAACTCAACTGTTTCTACATGTACAATTCAGTGACACTGATTATATTCTTTGAGTTATGAAACCATTCTCAACCTCATTTTCTGAGTTGTTCCTCCTCCATTAACATAAACTCATTGCCCCCTACGGTTCCTATCTTTCAAGTTGTCACTTTGATCCCATATAAATAGTTCTTAAAAGAGCATAATGCTCAAGGCAAATATTTTTTACTAGTTAAGCTAAACTATTTTTGATTTTAAGAAGACTTCAGGGGATATTCTTGGTTTAAGGTTTAAAGATTATCTCAGGGTGATAGTTTCAGGGGTTCATCCAGCCACCATGGCTCCACAAAGACTGGAGTCCATGAGGATTTGAAATTCTGTTCTGCATTTTCCCCCTTTTGATCAGGATTCTTCTATAGAATCTTTGATCAAAATGTTCAGTAATGGTAGTCAGGCACCATCCAGGTTTTCTGGTCTTATGACAAAGGAGGCAGTTGTTCATGGAGGCAATTACCATGGCTCATTCTTATTAAGGCTCACTCGTGTATGTGTGTGTGTGTGTGTGTATTTATCGTGGTAAAAATATATACAACAAAACCTTCGCCAATTCAACAATTTCTACATGTATAATTCAGTGACATTGATTACATTCTTCATGTTGTTCTGCTTTACTCTTCGGTTTCATTTCTCAGTTCATTCAGCACTTAGGCAGGGAAAGGGAGGCTTGTTTGTCAGGTCCCCTCAGAAAATCCAACAGGAAAATACATTTTGATTTGAGATATGATTTACATTCAACTTTTCAGCAACATATCTTCTGAATTGAAGCAAGAACAACTATATGATTCAATTTAAAATGTCACAATATTTACACATTTATGAGTTAGGAATAAATAGTAACTTCTACTCAGAGCTGGAAAACAAGTTGTGAAGAATAGTAACACTGAGGAGGGGAGAGAGACTGGTGGAAGAGGCTGCTGATTATGACTGAGGGTGGAGGAGTGAGTTCTGAATAAGTACACACAGTCTGAGCAGACATTCAAACTAACTCAGTAACTATGACACATCTTAGGAAAAAGCAACAGAGGTAAAAAAGACAAATTTTTCTTTGAAAAATAAAACTAATTTTCAAATAATAAACATTTTTATAAAGGTATACAAATATTCAGGAAAAATTTGAAAGAGACTTTTTTCATTAATGCTTGGTATTACATAAAAGTAGTCAGATACAAAATCTTTTACCATAGGAGCAGATGTGTAAAACCAAGAACTACATGAACACAAACTCTGCATAGAAAGCAGACTGAGAGGAAGACCTAGCATGTCATCAGGGGATCCGGTTGAACAATTATGGGTGATCATTTTTCATCCTTTTACTCTCCTGTATTTGCACCTTTTCTTAAGTGTGCACGGGTTAATGCTATAAGGGGGGAAGAAACTCTGAAAAACTTTCTTTAAAAACTTAAACGGGAAAAATACATCACTTAATTAGATACATGACATCGCAGCACAATCTCTCTTGTGGTTTTGATGTTTGAGTTATAATAAAATAGAAGCTTAAAATGAAAGGAAACCCATGGTCACATCGGTGGTCCACCCTGCCCTGGATCACGCCCTCCCTCCTGCCTCTCTGTCCACCCCTAGTACCTGGGAGACCTCCATCCACTAACAGTTGGTGCATGGATCATTAGTTCCCTGGCACTGAAGCCGTCTTCGTGTCCAGATGAACTGACGACTACAAATCCAATCTTGTGGGGCATTCTGCACGGCTGGGCTGTTAATAAAAGCACAAGAGAGTTCTTTGAAATGAAGGAATTTAGTAACGTAACATTGCCTGTATTAGTGCCTTCATGTGCATGCATCGTAATTCACAACATGAATTTTTCCACCACTTTGAAGGTTTTTAGTTTTTTGCTAAACATATTTTTACAGGCTCCTCTAAGTTGACTCAAAGTATGATCTTAAGTATATCCCACTTGAATTTAGAGACCATCTCAAGAATAGCTTTCACACATTCAATACTAATGACTGAAGACCAGACGAGCTGAATAAGGAAGACTGAAGGAGAATTGATGCCTTTGAATTATGGTGTTAACAAAGAATACTGAATATACTGTGGACTGTCAGAAGAATGAACAAATTTTTCTTGGAATGCTCCTTAGAAGCGAGGATGGAGAGACTTCATCTCATATACTCTGGACATGTTATCAGGAGGGACCACATCATGCTTGGTAAAGTAGAGGGCCAGCAAAAAAGAGGAAGACCATCAATTAGATGGACTGACACAGTGGCTGCAACAATAGACTCAAACATAGCAACAACTGTGAGGATGGTGCAGGACCAGGCAGTGTTTCTTTCCGTAATACGCAGGGATGCAATGGGTCAGAACTGACTCAACAGCACCTAACAACACAAGTTTACTTAAGATATTTAGTTACCTCGATTTTTCCTTATATCCAAAAAGTTTGACTAGTGTGTTAGTGAAGTTACACAATGAGTAGAAAAAAGGGCCATTTAACCAAGCTACGAAGTACAAAATTGTACATTAAAAGTACAAATACGTGCATAACGAGCCTTCTTGAGTGAGTGACTCAAGAGATACATTTAAATGTTGGTTGAATGTTTTTTTTCATGTCATGATTTTCCTAGTGAACCTGACTTTGTTCATGGTTCAGTATCATCATTCTGAGGGTGGGTTTGTGACATCTATTTTTGCCTGCTACGCAGCCCTCTCCGCGTTTGAAAACAGCACCTCCATCTCAATTTTCTTTGGTGATGCTGCCTACCCCCACACCTAGTTCCGGTGCGGCTGACAACCCACCCTCCTACCCTGTACTCCTCACTCCCCATTGGCAGTGGGCACATTTCCCAGGCCTCAGCAACCTATGAATTCCATGATCCTGGCCACAGTACCTAAATTCTTCAGGGAAGGGAACATGAATACATGACCCAAATTGGACCAATGAGACTCAATCCCAGGGCTCTGTTGGGACTATTGGGAAAGAGCAGCTTTCTTTCCATTAGGGCTGCTTGTTGTTGTTGTTAGGTGCCGTCGAGTAGGTTCTGACTCATAGCGACCCTACGTACAAAAGAACGAAAACTGCCTGGTCCTGTGTCATCCTCACAATCATTGCTATGTTTGAGCCCACTGTTGCAGCCATTGTGTCAATCCATCTCATTAAGCATCTTCCTCTTTTCCACTGACCCTCTACTTTACCAAGCATAATGTCCTTCTCCAGGGACTGGTCCCTTCTGATAACATGTCCAAAGTATGTGAGACGTAGTCTTGCCATCCTTGCTTCTAAGGAGCATTCTGGTTGTTCTTCTTCCAAGACAGATTTGTTCGTTCTTTTGGCAGTCTATGGTATATTCAATATTCTTCACCAACACCATAATTCAAAGGCACTGATTCTTCTTCTGTCTTCCTTATTCATTGTCCAGCTTTCACATACATATGAGGCGACTGAAAGTATCATGGCTTGGGTCAGGCGCACCATAGGCTTCAAAGTGACATCTTTGCTTTTTAATACTTTAAAGAGGTCTTTTGCAGCAGATTGCTCAATGCAATACGTCCTTTGATTTCCTGACTGGTGCTTCCATGGGCATTGATCATGGATCCAAGTAAAATGAAATCCCTGACAATGTCAATCTTTTCTCCATTTACCATGATGTTGCTTATTGGTTCAGTTGTGAGGATTTTTGTTTTATGTTGAGGTGTAATCCATAGCTGTAGTCTTTTTTAATATATATATATTTTTTACTGTGCTTCAGTTGAAGGTTTACAGAGCAAATTAGTTTCTCATTAAACAATCAATACACATATTGTTTTGTGACATTGGTTGCCAACCTCATGACGTGTCAACATTCTTCCCTTCTCGACCTTGGGTTCCCCATTTCCATTCGTCCAGCTTTCCTGTCCCCTCCTGCCTTCTCGTCCTTGCCTCTGGTCTGGTGTGCCCATTTAGTCTCACAAACATGGTTGAGCTACATGTATTATTGTTTATTTTATTGGCCTCTCTAATCTTTGGTGGAAGGGTGAACCTCAGGAGTGACTTCAGTACTTAGTTAAAAGGGTGTCCAGGGGCTGTGCTCTCAGGTTTCTCCAGTCTCTGTCAGATCAGTAAGTCTGGTCATTTTTTGTGAGTATGAATTTTGTTCTACATTCTTCTCCAGTTCTGTCCGGAACCCTCTATTGTGATCCCCATTAGAGCAGTTGGTGGTGGTAGTTGGGCACCATGTAGTTATGCTGGACTCAGTCTGGTGGTGGCTGTGGCAGTTGTGGTCCATTAGTCCTTTGGACTAATCTTTCCCTTGTGTCTTTGCCTTTCTTTAGTCTCCCTTGCTCCAGACAGGATGGGACCAGTGTAGTATCTTAGATGGCCGCTCACAAGCTTTTAAGATCCCAGATGCTACTCACCAAAGTACAATGTAGAACATTTTCTTTATAAACTATGTTACGCCAGTTGAGCTACATGTTCCCCCGACACCATGGTCCCCAGCCCTCAGCCCAGTAATTTGGTCCCTCAGGGAGTTTGAATGTGTCTATAAAGCTTCTATGTCTTTGCGTTGGTCAAGATTGTGCTGACTTTCCCAATATTGTGTACTGTCTTACCCTTCACCAAAGTTACCACTTATCTATTGTCTAGTTAGTGTTTTCCCCTCCCTCATAACCATCAAAGATTGTTGCTTTCTGTGTCTAAACCTTTTCATGAGTTTTTATAATAGTGGTCTCATACAGTATTTGTCCTTTTGTGATTGACTTAACTTCACTCAGCATAATGCCCTCCAGATTCATCCGTGTTGTGAGATGTTTTGCAGATTCATCATTGTTCTTTATTGTTGTATAGTATTCCACTGTGTGTATGTACCACAGTTTGTTTATCCATTCATCTGCTGATGGGCACTCAGGTTGTTTCCATCTTTTTGCTATTGTGAATAATGCTGCAATGAACATGGGTGTGCATATATTTATTTGTGCGACAGCTCTTATTTCTCTAGGATATATTCCTAGGAGTGGGATTGCTGGATTGTATGGTATTTCTATTTCTAGCTTTTTAAGGAAGCGCCATATCGTCTTCCAAAATGGTTATACCATTCTGCATTCCCACCAGCAATGCATAAGAGTTTCAATCACCCTGCAGCCTCTCCAACATTTGTTATTTTCTGTTTTTTTAATTTGTGCCAGTAATGCGGGGGTGAGATGGTATCCCATTGCAGTTTTGATCTGCATTTCTCTAATGGCTAGTGATCGTGAGCATTTCCTCATGTGTCTGTTAGCCTCCTAAATGTCTCCTTTGGTGAAGTGTCTGTTCATATCCTTTGCCCATTTTTTAACTGAATTATTATTATTTTTGTTGTAGAGGCGTTGGATTTTCCTATAGATTTTAGAGATTAGACCTTTGTTAGATTTGTCATAGCCAAAAATGTTTCCCAGTTTGTAGGCTCTCTTTTTACTCTTTTGGTGAAATCTTTTGATAAGTTTAAGTTTAATTTTCAGACGATCCCAGTTATCTGGCTTATCTTCTGGTGTTTGTGCATTGTTAGTTATGGTTCATATCCTATTTATGCCATGTATTAGGGCCTCTAGCATTGACCCTATTTTTTTTTCTATAATCTTTATAGTTTTTGGTTTTATATTTAGGTCTTTGATCCATTTTGAGTTAGTTTTTGTGTATAGTGTGAGGTATGGGTCCTGTGTCATTTTTTTTTTACAGATGGACATCCAGTTTTGCCAGCACCATTTGTTAAAAAGACTGTCTTTTCCCCATTTAATGGACTTTGGGCCTTTGTCGAAGATCAGGTGATAGTAGGTGGATGGATTTACATCTTGGTTCTTGATTCTGTTTCTGAAGGCGGTAGTCTTTGTTCTTTATCAGTAAGTGCTTCAAGTCCTCTCTGCTCTTAGCAAGCAAGGTTGTGTCATCTTCATATCACAGGTTGTTAATGAGTCTTCCACCAATTCTGATGCCACATTCTTCTTTATATAGTCCAGCTTCTCAGATTATTTGCTCAGCATACAGACTGAATAAGAATGGTGAAAGGATGCAACCCTGATGCACACCTTCCTTGATTTTAAACCGTGCAGTATCCCCTTGCTCTGTTCGAACGATTGCCTCTTGGTCTGTGTACAGGTTCTGCATGAGCACGATTAAGTATTCTGTAACTTCCATTCTTTGAAGTGTTATCTATAATTTGTTATGATCCACACAGTCAAACGCCTTTGCACAGTCAATAAAACACAGGTAAACATTAGGACTGCTAGCTGTAGGATATCTGCCTCAGGCTGCTGGAGGCCACCCTATGGGGAGGTCATGCCAGAGAGTGGTGCTAATCCAGGGAAAGCAGAGTTGAGAGATGCTGAGAGACATCTTTTGAGTCTTTAGATCCAGCCATATTTAAAGCCAAAACTATTCTTTTGAATCCTTAGATCCAGCCGTATAAAAAGCCAAAACTATGATTGGACTTTTTGGTTACTTTTCAGTTGCTAAGCCAACAAATTCCTTTGTTTAAACCAGTCTGAGTTAGATTTAAGTCATTTACAACCAAAAGAGTTCTCACTAAAACAGAAGATGAAGAAGAATTTACCAATAGTTTCTCAGGAATAGGATGTTGTTAGATGCCATCGAGTCAGTTCTGACTCATAGTGACCGTATGTACAACAGAACAAAACACTGCCCGGTCCTGTGCCATCTTCCCAATTGTTATGCTTGAGCCCATTAGAAATAGGATATACTAGTAATTTAAATTCTCAGTCAGAGCTAACATAAACATATCCCACAGGAAATTTTTCTTATTTTAAAATGCTTGATGCATGATCTACACCTTTCTTTTACTTTCATTGAAAACTCGAAGAGGAACATTTCAGTAAATGGTTAACTGACAGTTACTAACATTTCTTGGAATGTATGAACAAAGGAATTAAAAATACAATGATAAATCGTGATTAAAGAGCCTAGTTATTGTTTACACAAAGTCACTGCAGGGTGTCACGGTATTAGAGAAAAACTACATTAACCCAGAAGATAATAAAAAGCAGACCCCCCAAATTTTATGTGTGATTTTCTATCCACTGTCTGCTGGCCAGCCCCACCTGCATTCTGTACACCCTGTGCCACAGACAGAATTCATTCTCCCCCTAACCACCCAGCCTGCAGCTAAGCCCACACTGCCCCTCCCTGCGTCCTGCCACCTTCTTCTGGGTCACTCAGGCTCTAAGCCTGTGGTTCCTTCTCCTGTGAGCACGGCACGCCCTCCCCACTCCCCATCAGTTGGGTGCCAGGCCTCACTGGTTCTGCCTTTGGAACGGCTATCTACTGAGCACACTCCTTCCTCTCTGTCCCAGTCTTTCCTAGACACCTACAATGGCTTGGTCTCCTTCCTGGAGCACATGTCCTCCGACTCATGCCATGCACTCCTGCCAGATTACCCCTCCTAAACCTAGCTCAAGAACCCCGCTATAGGGTTCCTGTCTAGGATTCAAGTCCTTGCTTTGTCCTGATCCAATTTGCTTTTCTAACCCTCACTTCTGGTCATGAATTTTAAATCCAGACAAACTTATCGAAAGCTCAGTTATACCCCTCTGCTCTGAATTCCCCAAATCTTTTGATCATCGTTAGTCAGTCCCTATTCCACCTAGAAAAGACTAGGTATCTATTAAATATTTCCAACTGAATGTGATTATCCATCTTGAAATTCTAAAGATTTGAAATATTATTAATGTTGCCCAACATCTGTATAGTACTTACTCCTTTACACAGTACTTTCACTTTCGTACGGACATACACTTTATAGCAGTTACTGTGTGCCAGGGACTCTTCTCAGCACCTGGCATATATATATCTTCATAACAACTCTATGACATAGGCACCATCATCACCCCAGCTTTAGAGACGAGGAAAACTGAGGCACAGAGAGGTCCTTGCCCAAAGTCATACAGCTTAGTAAGACACGCAGGCAGGATCGGTTCTTAGGTGGTTGGGTTCCAGAGACTTTCATCTTGACCAATACACTATGCTATGGAGCTTAGACTTAAACAAAGGACTTTTAAAATCCAGACAGAAGATGCAGCCACTATACTATGCTGCACCAACACCGCAATAAATCAAAAACAAAGCACTGACACTTGTGAACCAGTTAGAAGAAATACCTGGACACTGCAGAGGCAACATTATCACTTCAGTTTGGGTCCTTTTTAGGGCAGGATCCTTTTAGGTCCACCCCTGACCAAAGAACTTCCACCTTATACCCTAGGGTGTCCTTTGTGTAAACCTTCAAGTATTACATGAGCTACTTAGGTGGCACTAATGAATGTTACTTTGAAGATCTACAAAAACCATTAAAACTTTGGGAAGAACAGAAGCTTTGTTGAGTGATCGGTTATCAGATGGTCTTCCTGACCCCAAGGCATGTGGGATCCCAACTGCCCTACTGCACAGCTACCCTCCCCAGCAAGCGCCAGGCTGCATTCCTCCATCAGCAACAATACTCTGTTGTTGTTGTTGTTATCGGTCCTCGACTCATGGCGACCTCATGCACAGCAAAACGAAATGCTGCCCCGTCCTCCTGCACCATCCTCATAATCAGTTGCAGACGGAACAACTGTGATCCACAGGGCTTTCGTTGGCTGATTTTTCAAGGTAGATCCTCAGCCCTTTCTTCCTAGTCCATCTTAGTTTGGAAGCTCTGCTAAAACTTGTTCAGCACCATTGCAACACACAAGCCTCTGCTGACAGACAGATGGTGGCTGCGCTTGAGGAGCATTGGTTGAGAATGGAACGCAGGTCTCCCGCATGGAAGGCGAGAATTCTGCCACTGAACCTCCACTGCACTGACCCCTTAGTACACTCATGCTCCCACAGGCACAGCAAAAGGTAAACCAGGGGTTCCTATCATGAAGTCTACTTTTCAATCTGTATCAGGGTCATTGACATTTACAAATTAAATGTAAACTCAATGTAACTACTTCCCAACCATTCTGCTACAAGGCTAGGAAACAAAACTTGTTTCTACTTATCATTTCAAGAAAATTTAAATGTCATACAATTAAGTTGATTTTTGTTTGATCAAGTAATCTTAAGGATTTGAAATGCCTCAGAGAGAATCTGAAACTTAAGAAGTACCAAAAAAAAAAAAAAAAAAAAAAGGATCAACATTTAACCTACACAGGGGCAGAGCAACATTCTTCAATCTTTTGATCAGCAGAACACATTTTAAAGTCAGCCATGGAATTCTGGTTCACTATCAGTCGTGCGTTCATAACAGGGCAACTTGGGATATGAAAATGAAAAGCAGTGCTAACTACAAGAAACCAATTCTAAAGTAAAGCCGCAGGCAGATTTTGGGATCTATTGCTCTATTAGGATGTAACCCAACAGACCCAGCAGTAACCTGGCTGGGCCGTGCCCTCACAGAGGTGGGCACTTCTTACATCCAGTGATAATCTTTTTCAGAGTGTCTCCGAGAAGAAGAGGACACTGGTCCTTTTGGCTACAAGTCCGAAGCCCAAAGTCCACAAAGTCTGCCCGGGATTTTGAACTCCCACAGGCTGCCTGGGTAACAGCTAACTAGCGGTGCACACGGCAAAGCAGGGTTTCCAGGGACAAGCCCTAATTCGGGACGGGGACCCTACCGACACCCACGGCATCTCCATCGATCCCTCCCTCTTGGCTCCGGACTCGGGGCTGTAAACCTTTTCGTACCAGGATCTGGCAAAGAGTAAAGGCTCGATAACATGAGCTGTTGCGTAAAGATACCTGATCAGAACGGAAAGGTCCCCCGACTGGAATTTCGAGGGTCCCAATGGGGTGGGGGCGGCAGCGTGGGGCGACTCCCGGATGGCGGGGTCCTCCGCGTGAAGTCGGGGCGCGGCTTGCTGCGGGGCGGCCCGGTCGGGTGGAGCCTCAGCTGCAGCTCCGGGAGGCGGCCCCAACGGGGCGCCCAGCGGGTAGGCCTGGCCTTGGCTCCCGGCCCGGGTGGGGCGGCCCGGCCGACCCTTCGCCGACCCCTTGGCAGCCGGCTCCCTGAGGCGGACTCAGGTGGCGCCTCCTCTGCCGCCCCAAGCTGCCCCACGCCTTGGAGCCGCAGCGGCGGTGGCAGCCAAGGAGCAGCCCAGGGAGCCTCCTTCCATCGCCCGGGCCGCGGCCGCCACTCTCATGACAACCGAGCCCGGCCAGGCGGCAGGCAGCCTCTACGCGTGCGCAGGGCTGCGACACGGCCCTGACCTCGGCCGCGCCTGCGTAAGTAAGCCCCGCCCCCTTACACTCCTGGCCTTCTGGGTAATGTAGTTTACGAGGGTCGGCCGGGCCTTCGTCGGTTTCCGGGAACGCCAGCTTCTGTGCGCTCAAACCCCGCGTCTGGGTAAGGGACTGGACCCAGCGGCCACAGACACCTCGAGGATGTTTGCAATGTTCCAGAAACCCAAGACCTTCAAGCTGCGGACCCTGAACAGCCAGAAGAAATTCGGAGTGGCGGGCCGGAGTTGCAAGGAAGTGCTGCAGAAAGGATGCCGCCAGTTCCAGGTCCTCTGCCAGCCCGCCCCGCACCTTCTTCGGTTCCGGGCAGCTGGGCACCCGGCTGCCCCTGCGGCGCCGTGAGAGGTGGTCCTCGAGCGCCAGGGAGCTTGTGTGCCCTCTTGCAGGGGAGAGAACGTGTCAGAATCTGCGGGTCGGGTAGGAAGTGGGTCAAGCTACAGACTCACAAGAAAAGGGCCCACAGAAGAGTAGGGATTTGCTGGACGCTCGGTTTACCGGCATCGTGCCGTCTTAGTAGACATTTCTTTTGCTGGAAGAGGGTGGAGTGTTCGGTGGGTAGGTTTCTCTCCACTGTACAGTCTTTACTAATGGTGATATTACTCATTCATTGATTTTTCGCCACCACCAAGGCTGTACTAAGCTCATACCGTGCTTAATGGACAGACACATTGTATCGTTTAAAGCAAACCAAACCCGTTGCCGTCGAGTCGATTCAAACTCATAGCGACCCTTTAGGACAGAGTAGAACTGCACCATCGGGTTTTCAAGGAGCGTCTGATGGATTCGAACTCCCGACCTTTTGGTTATAAAAACCCTGAGGACGAAATTACCACATCGTAAGAAAAATTAAAAGTTGCCATCAGAGTTGATAGCGACTCATGTCGCTCCCATGTGTTGTCAGCGTAGAACTGTGCTCCGTAGGGTTTTCCATGGCTACTTTTTAGGAAGTGATTACCAGGCCTGTCTTCGGAGTAGCCTCTGGGTGGACTCGAACCTCCAACCTTAAGGTTAGCAGCCGAGTATGTTAACTGATTTTCACCACTCATCCACATCTTACAGATGGAGAAACTAAAAATGGACATAGTTGACACCAACTGTGTCCTTACCACGCAGCAGACATTCTACGCTCTTTATGTGGGTTCTACTATCCAGTCCAGAAAGCAGCCCCATGAATTGGGCACTAACATCCCCATTTACAGGTGAGTCTCTGAGACACAGAGACTAAGTAACTAAGTAACTTACCCATAGCTACTAAGTAATGGGGGCTGCATTTAAACTTAGGATTGTCCAATTCTAAACGAGTTCTTGGGTGGGGCAAATGGCTAAGTGCTTGGCTACTAGCTGAAAGGTTGGCATTTCAAACCCACCCAGAGGTGCTTTGGAAGACAGGCCTCAATCTGGTTCTGAAAGGTCACGGCCTTTGAAAACCCTATGGAGCAGTTCTTCTCTGCACACGTGAGGTCACCGTGAGTCGGAATTCACTCCATGACAATTAACGATAACAACATATAATTCCAAAGTCTGTTTTGGGATCTTAGCAGAGCCTCTGAAGGGATTACGGCTGTAGCAAAATGACTAAGGTGTGGGAAGTCCTCCTTGGACTTATAGTGCAGTGCCTGGCACACACATGGGTTCAAGATGGGCTTGTTTAATGATACTGCATTTTAGCAAGGAGGCTTCTTGTAGGTCCTTGATGCCCCTCCCACAGCGCTCAGGTGTTGACTAGAAACTGAGGAGAGAATAAGAGTGCTGCGTTTCCTCTTCAAAACCCGAGGCTGTGGAGGATGTCTGAGGTGGGAGGAGCTCCAGGGAATCTGTACTCCACAGGGTTTTCAATGGCTGATTTTTCGGAAGTAGATCGCCAGGCCCGTCTTCTGAGGTGCCTCTGGGTAGACTTGAACCATTTCATTCACCAGTAGACACCAGGACCCCCACAGCCCATGGCGCCCCCTACCCCAAACGTTCCCGTAGCTCTTGAGCACATTAGCAGAGTGCAGGCAGGGTTATGAAGGGGTCGGGGACAGCTTTCCTTCTTCTAACTCGGGTCACCACAGCCTGGACTGACGGCAGGATGCCTGGGTTCTGGTTGCACATCTGCTGCTAACTCTCTGTGTGCTCAGGTAAATGGCCACTTTACCTCTCTGGGCCTCCGTTTCCCATCTGTAAAATGAAGGGCTAAGATGGTCTCTAAAGTTCCTCCCGGCACTGACATTTCCTGAACGAGTTTATACTACCGCTGAGATTGCATGCCATGGTGGCATAATGGTTAAGAGTTCAGCTGCTATCCAAAAGGTCCGCAGTTCGAATCCACCAGGTGCTCCTTGGAAACCTTATGGGGGCACTTCTACCCTGTGGCTATGAGTCAGAATCAACTCGATGGCAATGGTTTGGTTTTCTTTTGGTTTACATGTGTGGGACAGAGGTGGGCGGTGGGAGGGGGATTGCCGTAAAAATACCTGAAGTTGATCAGTGTCAAGCAATAGGGAACCAAGCCTCAGGAAATTAATAGTACAGTGTACTGGCAACATTCTTGTTGACAGAGGCAGTTCTCAGTAAGATGTTCTCCTTCATTAATCATTGCCTCTGAGAAAATCAGAGTCCCTGGGTGGAGCAAATAATTAGTGCACGTGGCTGCTAACAGAAAGGTTGAAGGCTCAAGTCCACCCAGAGATGCCTCAGAAGAAAGGCCTGGCGATCTACTTCCAAAAGTTCAGCAATTGAAAGCCCTATGGAGCATGGTTCTACTCTGACACTCATGGGGTTGCCATGAGTTGGAGTTGACTCGACAGCAACTGTTTTTTTTTTTTTTTTTTTACTGGTTATGAGAAAATGAAAACGCATTAAGTAGGTATGTCCTGTGGCTCTTTCAAGAGATATGTAGTTGTCAGTGAGATGTTTACAGGCTTAGTGGAAGCAGTTACGGGCCTTTTTCTGAAATCGACTCTATTTTTAGTGCCCTCAAGGAGCTCATTTTTAAAGGATCTGTGTGGTGAATCCTGCAAAGGAAGCCGTCACCAATTTATATATATATATTTTATGTGACTTTCTGTATTTTAGAATGACCTAAAGCAAAGTGCCCTCATTTTGACGCACTGAGTTTTAGACACAATGTTTGTCTCAGTTTAGCTTGATTCTTTAAAACACCGCATGGTCTTGTTCTCTGTGGGGACTGCAGATGATAAACCTCATCCTGCCATTCAGAAAGTGGCCCCCCGAGGCCCAGTCAGTCAGCGGCCTGCCTGCTCTTCCTCCTTCCCGCTCTCTGCCCTCAGCTCCCTGAGTCTGGCTGCCACCTGTGCCTGTATGAGGATGGCACGGAGCTGACTGGAGACTACTTCCCAAGTGTCCCGGACAACTCAGAGCTTGTACTGCTCACCGCAGGCCAGACCTGGCAGGGCTGTAAGTGGGGAGACCTCTGAGGTGGGCGGGGAAGCATGCGGGGCTCAGGGGGTCCTGGGGGTTCAACCCTGGGGTGGGGATTGGGGAGGGGAAGGGCTCCCCTTTGCTGTAAGGTCTGGAGTGTAAGGGAGGAAGTCCTCTGGAGTCCATGGTGTACACCACCACTTAGATGGCCACGTCCTAAGTCTTCTTGCCTAGGAACTCAGTTGTTCAGTTTGTTGTTTTACATCTGTTTTTTTTTTTCTAAATTCTTTTTATTTATGTTCACTGGCGGTGTCCTGTTGTTGTGTGCCATCGAGTCAATTCTGACTCATAGCAACCCTATAGGACAGAGTAGAACTCTGGGTTCCAAAGCTGTGATCTTTACAGGAGAAGATTGCCAGGTCTTTCTTCTGTGGAGCCGCTGGTGGGTTCAAACTGCCACCCTTTGGGTGTCCTGTTGTTGTGTGCCATCGAGTCAATTCTGACTCATAGCAACCCTATAGGACAGAGTAGAACTGTGGGTTCCAAAGCTGTGATCTTTACAGGAGAAGATTGCCAGGTCTTTCTTCTGTGGAGCCGCTGGTGGGTTCAAACTGCCACCCTTTTGGTTAGCAGCCTAGCACTTAACCATTGCACCACCAGGGTTTCTCTAGGGGGGTCCTAGTAACTCCCAAGGGCAGCAGGGAGTGATTTGGGAAGGGGCGTGCACAGTTTTGTGGGTGAGGCACTGTTCTGCTCTGTTGGGCTTATGCATTTTTCTCCAGGATGTGGCAGTGGCTCATCCAACACTGGGCCTTGTTCTCTGTGGGTGTTTGCTGAGTTGCTGTCCTCAAGGCTTGTGTTCGGGGGCTGCCTTATCGGGAGCCTGCCCGGAGAGGTAGTCCTTTAGCGGGTAGCCCTGGTAGCGCAATGGTTAAGCGCTTGGCTGCTAACCGAAAGGTCGGTTATTTGAAACCACCAGTCGCTCCGCAGAAGAAAGATGTGGCCGTCTACTTCTATAAAGATTTACAGACTTGGAAACCTTACAGGGACAGTTCTCCTCTGTCCTTTAGGGTCGCTATGAGTCAGACTCTAGTTGATGGCACCGGGTTTGGTTTTTGGTATTTAAGACCTAGGGCGCAAGTTTTGTCTTCCAGAACCAGCTAGATGACAAGTTCTGTGCTTGAGCTGTGGGCCAGGAGCAAGATTTCTGGGTGTGTCACCTGCTCCTTGTGCATGAACTGAGCAGGGCAGAGCTTCCTACCCCTGCCAGTGGTGTCACTAGGGGGGCACAGGGGCTGTGGACTACACTGGGTGACACTGTCAGAGGGGATGACACCAAAATGACTGTCTATAAAATTTTTGTGCAGTGTTTCAGCAGAAATTTATTATTTCTTATGAAAATATTCCTGTAGTTGTAACAACATGAATATTTTTCTCAAGCCCAGCTTACATGTAATAATATATCTATAAGGGTAAAACTCTGTGCTAATTTACTTTTTGAGCCTTCTAATGCTCTCCGGTCAGAGCTGTCATTATTACCCAATTACAATGACGCTTCAGATCACCTGGTTTCGTCTGCACACGCTACAAGCACACTTTGTTGTTTTTATTGCTGCTGTTATTTTTATAGTTGCTGATTTTGTCAAATTTTCTGGTGTTTCAGCTACAACATTGTGGTAATTAGGATTTGTGAACTATATCAATAACTTTTTTTGAGAATGAAGTAGTAAATAAAGGAGGGGAAAAACCAAACTCATTGCCATTGAATCGATTCTGACTCATAGCGACCCTATAATAGGACAAAGTAGAACTGCCCCATAGGGTTTCCAAGGAGTGGCTGGTGGATTCAAACTGCTGACATTTTGGTTAGCAGCCAAGCTCTTAACCACTGTGCCACCAGG